TCTATCTGGTCGTCTGGAACGATCATAGCTGTGGCTTCTAAAGTGACCTGCTCTGCCAAAAGTGTGAGGTTTCTGAGCAACATTATTTTGCGAATAATGTGAGCGGTTCACGCGCATGCTAGATGCGGCAGGAATAGGTTCTGTATAACTTTCCTTTTGCAATGACTTGCCAGGATGAGCACTCATATATTGCTCACCCAGTTTCACCATTTCCTCAATAGATGGTGGTTTTCTTTCTTGAAAGAAAGCAAACAATCCTGTGCTACAACAGGACAGAATCTTATCCCTAATCATCAGGTCTGCTAGACGATCATAAGAATTACCGACCTGCGCCAGAGTTGTCCACCTAGAAAACAAGGTCTTAACATTGGCAACAAAATCACCAAAACTTTTTTCAGAGGAAGGCATTGTGTTTTTGAATTTTTGACGGTAGTTTTTCCTCTGTCAAATTTTGGGAAGCCAATAATTTCTGACGCACTGTCTGGAATGATGCACGGTCTTCCAATGGTAAGTTAGTGAACGTGTTTAAGACTGTACCGGTTAGTAGATCTCTAAGACGAGCTACCCACTGTGTCTCAGGAATCTGGGCTGACGACATCGTTTCTTGGAATCTGTCCAAAAAAGAGTGTAAACAATCATTTGTTGTTAAAAAGGGCAACTTCGGCCTGTATGACCCATTATTCCTGTCTCGGTTGGAGAGCTGATCCATCTCCACACTTTTCTTACTCTCGGCCTCCTTAATAGCAATCATTTTATCTCTCTCTACTCTAGCAATTTCTATCTCAGTGTCGAATCTAAGTTGTTGCTGCTTGTGAGACAATTCTAATTCTCGATCTTTAAATTGCTGCTGCTTATCATTTTCCTGCATCTGCTGCAACATCTGCTCTCTTTTAAATGCTATTTCCTGTTCCTTAAGTACCCGTTCTGCCTCTAACTTTTCCTTTTCTAACCTTATTTGTAGTTCAGCCTTTTCTCTTTCTACACAAATTAGCATTTCTGACTCTTCTTTTAGTTTTAGTCTTTCTGCCTCTGCTTTTTTCCTTTTTCTGCCTCTGCTTTTTTCTTTTTCTGCATTAAGAAGTTGTATCTTCAACTCAGAGTCAATTTTCTTCTGCTGTCTTTCTAACGCTCTTTCTTCTCTCTCTGTAATTTCTTTTAATCTGGCTTCGGCAAATTTTACCAACTCTGGCCCCTCTAAACTCATAGATCGGCCTAGCTCAACAAAATCCGCAAAGGAAGCCATTATAACTCGATATATTATGCAATACAGAAAATATAAAATAATAATAAATGGGGAAAAAAATGAGACAAACAATGGTTGACAAACAAGACGCTACACTTCGTTCACTGCAACGAATGTACAAAACGACAACGTTGAGAGAATCGAATAGTAAAAATAAAGTTGACACCACAAGCCTGTTATAAAAAAGAAATCATGAAAAGTAAACAGAAGAGCACACCAATGACGTGACGACGGAAACACACTTAACGCATACAATTTTAGCGACTAATTGTCAGAAAGGCCACGAATATTTGCATATCCTCTATATCAGAGCCGCCAATTTGACAAGAAAAGCTGAAGAAAAGAACTAATATGTCATCCCAAACTCAATGAGCTGATATATTAAAGTTACAAATAACAGAAAACATGGATGATAATCATTCACTCTAACACCTCGGATATGTTATGAGACGAAACGAGCACACAAAACAACTCCCATCCGTCAACAAAAAACATTACCCGATTTAAATCCACAGATGCGATCCTTAGGCGTCGTACTGCTATCCTTAGGCGTCGTACTGCGATCCTCAGGCGTCGTACTGCGATCCTCAGGCGTCGTACTGCGATCCTCAGGCGTCGTACTGCGATCCTTAGGCGACGTACTGCGATCCTTAGGCGACGTACTGCGATCCTTAGGCGACGTACTGTGAACAGGGACCTAGTAGTAATGATGCGAAACTCAAGCATCCACTGCTGAACTCCGTTGAAGAATGTCAATTACGGTAGAACAAACGCGTAATTCTATAGAGTCAAATAACACTGCTAATGTCACCAGCACTTTATACAGCTGTAAATCAATTAAGGCCTACTGTTAGTTCACGTATGTCCGATAAGTTCGTAAAGCTGCTAGAAACACTCGTTAGCACTGCATACACTTAAAAAAAATAGTTTATAACTCCTTTCAGGATCCGTTAATTTATAACTTTATGTAGAACAGTTTTATGTATTCGTTCAAACGATCATCAGTCTGTAGCACGAACACAGGATTAATCAACACTGTTTATAAATCCATCAAAGGACCGGCTTGGCCATCCACTGTTGTACACTTAATTTGTACATTCTTTTGTATACTTTATATTCAACCAAGTATTTAGGCCTAGGGTGACTATTCTAGTATTCCGCTGGATATCTCCTTGATGGATGTGCTACAGTGAAGTCCTGCATTCTATAACTGGCACACTTGGCACCGACACAGCATCATGTAATACAGTCGCTACCTTTACAAGCCAACAATAACGCTTGTGACAGGCCACATAAACTTTAATGGCATTAAAGTTACACGTCACAAGATGATGATGATTATTCAATAAAAACGTACGATAATAACTCTTTATTATCTACTCTGAGAATATAAAAGAATTACACTCTTTTCTCAATGGACTCCTGCCATTATAATAAATAAATAGACATTAAACTGTCTCCCGTGTAAGTACGGTTAATCAAACTTCACAAAGAAGGAACGTCTGCTTCGAACAAGGGAAATATCTTGACTGCCGAATCCTTTGTGTTCTGCAGGAGCCTTTGTGTTAATCGCCCAGCATTCAATTAGCTGGTATCCCAGGTAACAGACCCGACCGGTGGCCGCTGTGTGAACCTTTCACCTGCGCTGTGACCACTAGAAGAAACTAGAAGAAACTTTAACTCTTGGACTATAAGATTACAACAAAGCTTCAGGACTAGGACCAAGCTGCTGCTCTTTGAAAAGTCTGTGTCGGTCGATGAGAGCTTTTGTCACGTGGCCAGGTGTAATGGGGGATATTTTCACCCACATTAGGAATGTTGGGGGGGGGGGGGGGGGTATGCCCAAGGATAACCAAAACACCGAGATATTCTAGATACTCGGGTTAAATGAGGTGTTCAAGATAGGTGATGACCACGAGTTATCACGGGTAACATGTTGACGCGACCACAGGTTGCCACGTGGAAGTAAAGGACTACCACGTGTTGCCACGTGAAACTAACCCGAGGTATAAGATCAGACGAGCTCCCAATTGCAGTGAGCTCACTCGTTGTCTAGTGGGTGTTTATTATGTGTGTCGTGAATGTTCTCATCACACACTCTACGTTAACATAGCTGGTACAAGCCGACACCGACTTAGCCGTACGAAACATCAGTTTATTGACAACAGTCTCCAGTCGTTGTCCTAGGAAACAGCTTTCGCACACCACATCATGCAGACTTCAACTAGCAGGTTCCTCACGCAGTCACTGACCAGAGTCTGCACCGATGGAGCTGGTTGATTTTCTGGACATTACACAGACTTCTGGCTTCACACGTCGTCGTCTGGTTCTCCTTTCACAACAAGAAATCTCACATTGACATTCGTACGCTCAGTCTCCCGTCCTTTCGCTCTAACAAGTCGACACAAACTAACTTGATCAGAATTAGGTCTGAGCTTATACCACGGGTTAGTTTGACATGGCAACACGTGGTGGTCCTTTACTTTCACGTGGCGACCTGTGGTCGCGTCAACGTGTTACCCGTGAATATCTCGGTGTTTTGGGTGAACCGTGGGCATACCCCCCAACCTTCCTAATGTGGGTGAAAATATCCCCCATTACAGCAGGCACATGGTGAGTGCCTAGCATGTGCCGCAGACATGCTCCCTAGGTGCAGCAGGTCGATCTGGGGGTCTGGCCAGTTAGTCTGCCAATGGAAACCAATGGATCTAGGGAGAGCATGCGTTGCGTCAGTCTTAATAGGTGCCTTGCCACTTAATTGAAAACTGTTGACAAGAAGGATGGCAGGAAGAAAAACCATGGTGCAATTTGTACGGTTCGTCGTTGAAGTAACAGAGCTTGTACTTTGTGTAATTCTATCGTCAGGAGGCTAGTTGTTGTGCGGAGAGAGACCAATATCCGTGGAACAATTCGGAGCTATAAAGTGAACCCTGTCGTCTTTAACTTTGACTTTGAGATGTAGACATCATGTAAATCAAAGCAATGTTTCCCCGTTGTAACTTGAACAAAAAAGACACAAACAACAGATTGCACAATTTATTGCCTGGTATATTTCGCCATATCTCGTCAGGTGCATACTACAGTAACAATTGATTAAAATGAAGCAAATAAACAAATCCTGTGAGCTGAAACACAAAATCGACTACATCCACACGCTGTTTCACCAGGGTAACCACAAAGTGACGAGCATTTCCTTTTGTCTGCATAGTTCTGGACTAAACCGGCTGCTAGATGACGCTTCCGCATATCTCAGTAATCTACTTTTGGTAGAAGTGTAAATAATTCTATATACATCATCCTTGTTTACCATGTGCCTAGACTTTAAAATATGGCACGCAAGTGCTGAGGTTGGATTATTTCGACCAGTCACTTGATTCATTGTTGTTGAGTTAGTGTTTCCGCATTGTTTTTACCACCGATAGCGGAATAGGTTTAGCAACCCGTTTCTCCGGTCATCGATCTGTTCTGCCCACATATACAGCATTACAGGTGCATTTAAATGGGTAACTACAATTAGATTTGGTGTTCGTCGACACTAGTTCTTTCACTTGTTTCGTAGGAATTACGGTGGTTTTAAATCTGATAACTGGTATGACAATATTTTAATCAATTGTTACTGTAGCATGCACCTCGCGAGATAACAGCCAAATATGCTAGACAATAAATTGTGTAATCTATTGTTTGTGTCTTCTTTGTTCAAACATCATGTAAAGACAAAAGACAAGGGATTCGAAAGGACATCTAACAATCACCTGACCTTCAATGCTTGGATGAAGTCGTTGTTGTATCGGTAAGCTTCTCCTAGATCTCGGTACAGCGTACACACCGTAGGTTCTCGGTTGTTTTCGGCTACAGTGATAGCATTCAGCATGTACTGAACAGCCTGGAAACAGAGTTTGTAGCCATCTGGTTGTAGTGTCACTTGTGACTATCCAAGTCGTGTCTAGTAGCATCAGCGTAGTAGTAGTAGTAGTAGTAGTAGTAGTAGTAGTAGTAGTAGTAGTAGTAGTAGTAGTAGTAGTAGTAGTAGTGGTGGTGGTAGTAGTAGTAGTAGTAGTAGTAGTAGTAGTAGTAGTAGTAGTAGTAGTAATAGTAGTAGTAGTAGTATTAGTAGTAGTAGTAGTAGTAGAAGTAGTAGTAGTAGTAGTAGTAGTAGTATTAGTAGTATTAGTAGTAGTAGTAGTAGTAGTAGTAGTAGTAGTAGTAGTAGTAGTAGTAGTAGTAGTAGTAGTAGTAGTAGTAGTAGTAGTGGTGGTGGTGGTGGTAGTAGTAAAGCAGCGGCAATACTAGTGGTAGAAATAGTAGTAGCAGCAGCAGAACCAGTAGTAGAGGTTATAGTAGTAGTTGCAGTAAGAATAGTAGTCTTATCGGCAGCAGCAGTAGTAGTACCAGTAGCAACTACAGTGGTAGCAGCATCTGAGGCAGAATTAGTAGTAGTAGTAGTAGCAATAATAATAATACCAGCTGTATAGCAGGAGCAGCAGCAGCGCCAGCAGCAGCCGTAGTAGTAACATCAGTAATAGTACTAGTACTAGCAGCGGCTGTACTAGTAACATCAGTAATAGTGCTAGTAATAGCAGCGGCTGTAGTAGTAACATCAGTAACAGTACTAGTACTAGCAGCGGCTGTAGTAGTAACATCAGTAACAGTACTAGTACTAGCAGCGGCTGTAGTAGTAACATCAGTAATAGTACTAGTACTAGCAGCGGCTCTAGTAGTAACATCAGTAACAGTACTAGTACTAGCAGCGGCTGTACTAGTAACATCAATAATAGTACTAGTACTAGCAGCGGCTGTAGTAGTAACATCAGTAACAGTACTAGTACTAGCAGCGGCTGTAGTAGTAACATCAGTAATAGTACTAGTACTAGCAGCGGTTGTAGTAGTAACATCAGTAACAGTACTAGTACTAGCAGCGGCTGTAGTAGTAACATCAGTAACAGTACTAGTACTAGCAGCGGCTGTAGTAGTAACATCAGTAATAGTACTAGTACTAGCAGCGGCTGTAGTAGTAACATCAGTAACAGTACTAGTACTAGCAGCGGCTGTAGTAGTAACATCAGTAATAGTACTAGTACTAGCAGCGGTTGTAGTAGTAACATCAGTAACAGTACTAGTACTAGCAGCGGCTGTAGTAGTAACATCAGTAATAGTACTAGTACTAGCAGCGGTTGTAGTAGTAACATCAGTAACAGTACTAGTACTAGCAGCGGCTGTAGTAGTAACATCAGTAATAGTACTAGTACTAGCAGCGGCTGCAGTAGTAACATCAGTAATAGTACTAGTACTAGCAGCGGCTGTAGTAGTAACATCAGTAATAGTACTAGTACTAGCAGCGGCTGCAGTAGTAACATCAGTAATAGTACTAGTACTAGCAGCGGCTGTAGTAGTAACATCAGTAATAGTACTAGTACTAGCAGCGGCTGTAGTAGTAACATCAGTAATAGTACTAGTACTAGCAGCGGCTGTAGTAGTAACATCAGTAATAGTACTAGTACTAGCAGCGGCTGTAGTAGTAACATCAGTAATAGTACTAGTACTAGCAGCGGCTGCAGTAGTGGTGGTGTAGCAAAGTAAGATAGTACCCAGTGCAGAAAATCCTGTCAACTCCCTCCTCATATTTATATTTTGATTTGACTTTAAATACTTACGTTTTTTCTTCTTCATTTTTTTAACCTCCCCCCCCCCCCCCCTTTTTTTTTTTCTCTCCTGGGGGACCACCCTTACCCCAGGTGACATAGTGGCTCCTAGCCTGGTCTCACCTGGGGATATCGCCGCTCCTGCATGGAATAGGCAAAGGCAAACTTGAGGAGCTCCAGGCTGCTCGTGTGACGTGTCAACATTTGTTGCAGGACTGTCCTAGCTTGGTCCAGCTGGCCACTGTCCTTCAGTGTTTGTATCTGTAGGGGAAGAAGGGCGTACATTCTTTGTTGTTGTTTTTGTTGTTGTTCTTAAATTAATAAATAGATGAATAAATAAAGAATTGACGTCACTGCACTAAAGGCATTCCCACACCTGAGCTTGTCCGCCCTCCTTGGTAGCTAACAGAAAGTTAGGCTATCCTCCAAATACCGGTCCTAAATTTTCAGTCACGTGTCAATTGCGAACTTTCGGCGACTTCCGCCACCGCCGAGAGTATTGGGGCTAGCTAGATAGCTGGTACTCACGAGCAAATAAAATGAAGGAAGCTGCAGGAGATGCGGTAGCTGCTGCTCGTTGAGTCCCAGCCATCTAGTTTAGCCCCAATCCACGCCGCGTGAGCGGCGGTGGCGAAAGTCGCCGGAAGTGCGCAATTTAAGTCGACCTAAGTTCGCAATTGACACGGGACTGAGGCCCTGTTAGGCTATATTTTCGGCCTCCATAATTTGGGACCGTTATTAGGAGGATAGCCGAAAGTTGAATTAGTGGCGTCAGTTAGAGCATGATTTAAAAAAAGAAATCGGCCCGTTTCTTCCTCTGCGCATTTGGAGATGCGCAGACTCGCTGCCCAACCTCCGCCTCATGTATAGATACCAGGACAGCTATTTGAGGTAACAAAAAACGTACCCACTGGCCCCAACAAGCATGGCGTAAAAGGCTACTAATTCTGGAATCTACTGGAATCAGATGTGCTGAATTGAAAGGCGCAGATATCGCATGATAGCTGATTACATCAGGATCCTCGCCGGTGCCACGGAATTCGTGCACTGAGCTGATTCATCGGACTCAGGCTTGAGTCAGAAGTAGAATGTAACACTTATGGGTTGCTGCCCCTGTGCCATGATGTTAATCCCTTGTTCAAACCATCAGACCAGACGTATACTACAACGCAATGTCCTTTTTCAAAGACTGCCGGCAGAAAGGGAGGCAAGGCTTGGTGGAATCTTAAGCTTCGAAGCTATTTTTACTTCCGACAGCGCTTTGCTAGTGCATTTTCCTCACTAGGACGGTAGTCTACTCTTTCGCTACCCGAGCTACTAAGTGTAGTGCTTGGTGCAGCCCTGCGAGGCGTGTTTTTCCTGTGGAATGCCTTTCATGTGTGCAGCGGTTCTGTCGTGGTATTGATGGCCGGTAGCAGATTTCGTGTGAGCTGATGAAATACCTTATGTAATAATTCTACAGGTGTATACTAACCAGCTTACCATGCCAGGCAACTTCTATCCACGACAAATTGAATTTCTGGTGGCGATTGTTGGCTTTGGCGCCTCTAGCAACTGAAATACGTATTTACTGTGTGAGCACATTTCTGGATTTTTCCGGGACTGATTGTTTGTTCACCAGTTTTTCAAATGGACATTTAATTTGATTCGTACTGGCACATGAGCGGAGCAAGTATGAGAAAACCTGACTGCGGTGATGTTGAAAGCTCGACTAACATTTACACTGAGTGCCTTTTTAAGCTAGAGTACAGAAAAATACTGCACTTTGTATCAGTTTTTCGAGGTTTCGTTGTTTTTTTCCCTGTGAATCTATCCTTCTATCTATTTTTATTTCTTTCATTGTGTCTCTGTCTGAAGCTTGGTGACGCCTGCTTGCTTAAGCCTGGTTGTGATAGAGATAGAGCGAGGTGGGTGGAGATGGAAGTCTGGTTGTGATAGAGATAGATGAGCCGAGATGGAAGTCTGGTTGTGATAGAGATAGATGAGCTGAGGTGGAAGTCTTGTTGTGATAGAGATAGATGAGCCGAGGTGAAAGTCTGGTTGTGATAGAGATAGATGAGCCGAGATGGAAGTCTGGTTGTGATAGAGATAGATGAGTCGAGGTGGAAGTCTGGTTGTGATAGAGATAGATGAGCTGAGGTGAAAGTCTGGTTGTGATAGAGATAGATGAGCCGAGATGGAAGTCTTGTTGTGATAGAGATAGATGAGCCGAGATGGAAGTCTTGTTGTGATAGAGATAGATGAGCCGAGATGGAAGTCTGGTTGTGATAGAGATAGATGAGCCGAGATGGAAGTCTGGTTGTGATAGAGATAGATGAGCCGAGATGAAAGTCTGGTTGTTATAGAGATAGATGAGCCGAGATGGAAGTCTGGTTGTGATAGAGATAGATGAGCCGAGATGGAAGTCTGGTTGTGATAGAGATAGATGAGCTGAGGTGAAAGTCTGGTTGTGATAGAGATAGATGAGCCGAGATGGAAGACTTGTTGTGATAGAGATAGATGAGTCGAGATGGAAGTCTTGTTGTGATAGAGATAGATGAGCCGAGATGGAAGTCTTGTTGTGATAGAGATAGATGAGTCGAGGTGAAAGTCTGGTTGTGATAGAGATAGATGAGCTGAGGTGGAAGTCTTGTTGTGATAGAGATAGATGAGCCGAGATGGAAGTCTTGTTGTGATAGAGATAAATGAGCTGAGGTGGAAGTCTGGTTGTGATAGAGATAGATGAGCTGAGGTGGAAGTCTGGTTGTGATAGAGATAGATGAGTCGAGGTGAAAGTCTGGTTGTGATAGAGATAGATGAGTCGAGGTGGAAGTCTGGTTGTGATAGAGATAGATGAGCCGAGATGGAAGTCTGGTTGTGATAGAGATAGATGAGCTGAGGTGGAAGTCTTGTTGTGATAGAGATAGATGAGTCGAGGTGGAAGTCTTGTTGTGATAGAGATAGATGAGTCGAGGTGGAAGTCTTGTTGTGATAGAGATAGATGAGTCGAGGTGAAAGTCTGGTTGTGATAGAGATAGATGAGCTGAGGTGGAAGTCTGGTTGTGATAGAGATAGATGAGCCGAGATGGAAGTCTTGTTGTGATAGAGATAGATGAGTCGAGAGGTGAAAGTCTGGTTGTGATAGAGATAGATGAGCTGAGGTGGAAGTCTTGTTGTGATAGAGATAGATGAGTCGAGGTGAAAGTCTGGTTGTGATAGAGATAGATGAGCTGAGGTGGAAGTCTTGTTGTGATAGAGATAGATGAGCTGAGGTGGAAGTCTGGTTGTGATAGAGATAGATGAGCTGAGGTGGAAGTCTTGTTGTGATAGAGATAGATGAGCTGAGGTGGAAGTCTGGTTGTGATAGAGATAGATGAGCTGAGGTGGAAGTCTGGTTGTGATAGAGATAGATGAGCTGAGGTGGAAGTCTGGTTGTGATAGAGATATATGAGCTGAGGTGGAAGTCTGGTTGTGATAGAGATAGATGAGCTGAGGTGGAAGTCTGGTTGTGATAGAGATAGATGAGCTGAGGTGGAAGTCTGGTTGTGATAGAGATAGATGAGCTGAGATGGAAGTCTGGTTGTGATAGAGATAGATGAGCCGAGATGGAAGTCTGGTTGTGATAGAGATAGATGAGCCGAGGTGAAAGTCTGGTTGTGATAGAGATAGATGAGCCGAGATGGAAGTCTGGTTGTGATAGAGATAGATGAGTCGAGATGGAAGTCTGGTTGTGATAGAGATAGATGAGCTGAGATGGAAGTCTGGTTGTGATAGAGATAGATGAGCTGAGGTGAAAGTCTGGTTGTGATAGAGATAGATGAGTCGAGATGGAAGTCTGGTTGTGATAGAGATAGATGAGCTGAGATGGAAGTCTGGTTGTGATAGAGATAGATGAGCTGAGATGAAAGTCTTGTTGTGATAGAGATAGATGAGTCGAGATGGAAGTCTGGTTGTGATAGAGATAGATGAGTCGAGGTGAAAGTCTGGTTGTGATAGAGATAGATGAGCTGAGATGGAAGTCTGGTTGTGATAGAGATAGATGAGCTGAGGTGGAAGTCTGGTTGTGATAGAGATAGATGAGCCGAGATGGAAGTCTTGTTGTGATAGAGATAGAAGAGTCGAGATGGAAGTCTGGTTGTGATAGAGATAGATGAGTCGAGGTGGAAGTCTGGTTGTGATAGAGATAGATGAGTCGAGATGGAAGTCTGGTTGTGATAGAGATAGATGAGTCGAGATGGAAGTCTGGTTGTGATAGAGATAGATGAGCCGAGATGGAAGTCTTGTTGTGATAGAGATAGATGAGTCGAGATGGAAGTCTGGTTGTGATAGAGATAGATGAGTCGAGGTGAAAGTCTGGTTGTGATAGAGATAGATGAGTCGAGGTGAAAGTCTGGTTGTGATAGAGATAGATGAGCTGAGGTGGAAGTCTTGTTGTGATAGAGATAGATGAGTCGAGGTGGAAGTCTGGTTGTGATAGAGATAGATCAGCTGAGGTGGAAGTCTGGTTGTGATAGAGATAGATGAGTCGAGGTGGAAGTCTGGTTGTGATAGAGATAGATGAGTCAAGGTGAAAGTCTGGTTGTGATAGAGATAGATGAGTCGAGGTGAAAGTCTGGTTGTGATAGAGATAGATGAGCTGAGGTGGAAGTCTTGTTGTGATAGAGATAGATGAGCCGAGATGAAAGTCTTGTTGTGATAGAGATAGATGAGTCGAGGTGAAAGTCTTGTTGTGATAGAGATAGATGAGCTGAGGTGGAAGTCTTGTTGTGATAGAGATAGATGAGCTGAGGTGAAAGTCTGGTTGTGATAGAGATAGATGAGCTGAGGTGGAAGTCTTGTTGTGATAGAGATAGATGAGCTGAGGTGGAAGTCTTGTTGTGATAGAGATAGATGAGTCGAGGTGGAAGTCTTGTTGTGATAGAGATAGATGAGTCGAGGTGGAAGTCTGGTTGTGATAGAGATAGATGAGTCGAGATGGAAGTCTGGTTGTGATAGAGATAGATGAGCTGAGGTGGAAGTCTGGTTGTGATAGAGATAGATGAGTCGAGGTGAAAGTCTGGTTGAGATAGAGATAGATGAGCCGAGGTGGAAGTCTGGTTGTGATAGAGATAGATGAGTCGAGGTGGAAGTCTGGTTGTGACAGAGCCAGATGAGCCGAGGTGGAAGTCTGGTTGTGACAGAGCCAGATGAGCCGAGGTGGAAGTCTGGTTGTGACAGAGCCAGATGAGCTGAGGTGGAAGCCTGGTTGTGACAGATATGTAACATCTTCATTCTGCATGACGTAACATTTTTCAGTTACAGTGGATTGTTGTTACAAAAGTACTTACGTATTTCATGTTAATGTTTATGTTGTTGGGATCCAGTGCTGCTGCACGACCCAGAGCCATTACAGCATTGTGAGTGTGGCCTCTCCTGGAGTAGATAGAACCCAGCAGAGAGAAGCACTGGCTGCAGCTCTCTGTCAACTCCACGGCCCTGAAAGTTATATAATACTTGGTGCTAGTTTGCAGCTATGGCGGGAGACAGTAAGTCGTCTTCATCTGCAGCTATAGTACAGATGATGAACAACAACAGAATGGTATGTCGCCCCACACTGAAGGTTTGCTTAGTGTACCCACTGATCTCTGGAAGCATTACACGGTGAACGTACACGACCTCCCACAGTGCCACTATCGTGCCACTCCTTGCTCATGATGATACTTTTGGAAATCATCATCAACATTCTCATCATCGTTGTCATCATCGTTCATCATCATCATTTGTTTTTCTTCTCCTCGTTCTTCCAAACGGATTCCCTCTCTAGCCCACCTTTTCTTCTTCTATGTTTCTCGTCAAACAATCATAGATACCATATTTAAAATGAAATATAATTTCACTTATTGTTGGTGGTCCATTTCTTTATGATTCAGTTTTCACATCACAGTCTTCCTGTGAAACCTATAGTCATGGAGTCACGATATTTTTTTTTCTCTAGCATCCTCGCATGAGGCGGCGTCCGTGGCTTAGGCGTTGCGAGTCCAACGTACCGCGATTGAAACTCACTGTTGACAGAGTGGATTTTTATCATAGAATGGGGCGTCGCAGGTCAACCCAGCCTTAAATGGGTACCAGGATGGCTGTCCCGGGGAAGTAAAGACGGCCGGCGTAATGCCGACCACATAACCCATCCACTGCTGATTGGTCTGTAAAAATATGGGACGCTCTTCCCATATACCCGATGCGTCTTAGGCGTGAAAAGGGATCTTTACTTTTTTTTTTTTTACTTTTATCCTTGCATGTGCCGCGATGATCCACATGCTAACACTCCCGCCTGCTGGCGCGGTAGCCATAGATTTGGAATGGATTTTAAAGCATTTCATCCGACCCAGATGGGCCCTGCCTAAATGAGAATCGAGAAATGTCAAGGAAAGTAAAGGAACGTGAAGTTTATCAACCTTTGGATGCCGACTGGTGTTTAAAATAAAAGGGTAGCAAATGTGACTGCTTTCGTAAAAACTGGTCGACGCTCAACACCCAGGGGAAGGATGAGGCGGATTTACAATCCTACTGTTACTTTTACCATCGGAATTGGAACTCTTCGCTCGCTGCTGAAGATTCCTAAATCAGCCTTCAACAACATTTGTAAAAACTGACCCTCACTTAGAAGCGTCCACACCTGAGCAGGGATTTAACAACCGACTTGGCTTTCATGTTTACTCGGCCTGAAATTATTACCAGAAAATGTGATAGGAAATAAAGGCGACCGGCGTGATGATGACTAACTCGTCCATCGAGCGCCTACTGGTCTATACAAAGTTGGGTCTAGCGCTGTAGGAGATTCCGTGTGGAGGTGAACATGATGTTTTACTATTCCTAAATGTTTTGCAAATAAAATAAGCTAAATCTGTAAAACGGATGTGCACGCAACAATCAAGTCATGTAACAAGACTAAAGTGGAGAAATGAAAAAACAAGCATGAATTTATATCGTAGTTTACAGCGGGTACACGCTAAGAAGAATGGAAGGATTGTAAATATGTTGTGATGACGCGTGTGTAGCTGGGCAACTCACTTCTCCAGCTTCCTTTCTGCTTCTATCAGCTGTCCTGAGGTGAAGTGCAACCTTGCAGAATTCAGCAGAGCATCTGTGTCATTAGGGTTGAGACTGAGGGTGATCTGGTACTCCCGTAGAGCGGCTGTAGTTTGATCTGTTGGTCAGAAAGACACAAGCTATTCAATTGCACAACAACAGAAACAACAACAATTTAAAAATTATTCAGTGAAACGGGACCGGTGTTGACGAACGAACGAACGAACTTTATTTTCAAAGGGTCACAAATTGGGCACGCAGGCCAGTCTTACATTGACACAATGGCTAGGAACGTGCATGCCAGTCAAAAGGTTTTAGGTCCCAATACGAATGAAAGCGATTTTTAGAACGGTACTGAGGATGTCAGGTGGATCCAGGCCAACATGGGTACGAGAAAATATCACGAGAAATAAAAGGTTGGCCAGCATGATGGTCACATCGTCTATCGAGGGCGTATTGATCATCATCATGTGCCCTGCTAACTGGCGTAGGCGCTCATGCGTCTCCACAGATTGGTTGCCTGGAACAGCTCTCTTGATGATATCCCTCCATGCCATTGTTTTAGCCCATCCAGCATCATCTCTCTTGGTCTGCCTCTACTCTTTTTCACACTGACCTTACCATGATTTGATTTGATTCAAGAACCGACATCACAGCACTCGGGGCATTACCATAATCGCTCCGTCCCCATCTTCAGCAGCCAGCGAAGAGTTCCGATACTAATGGGGCCAGTAGCTTTCTGATTAAACGTCCGTCTTGCCTTTCCTCTGAGCCTCGAGCTTCTGCCAGAACCTCTCGTCACCCCCAACTGCATCAATCTCACCAGACTGTGGTGATCCATCTGGTACACTGATCTTACCAGTTGTCATGATATTCTCCAATGTCTCTCTTCTCATTATGTGGTCAAAGAACAGTGTGTGTCTCTTTCTTATTGTTGTATATTGAGATCTACTTTCATTAGCTTCTTTCAAGCAATCGTTGATAGTTACTCTGGCCGTCCAAGGTATTCGTAACATTCGTCTCAGAAACCTCATCTCTGTTGCTTCCAAATTTTTCTTAATTTGTTCACTGACATTTCAAGATTCGCTGCCATACAGCAGAACAGGTTCTGTTTAACATTTTGATATACACAAATATTGGCCTAGAGTCTGTTTAAGTCAAGTAAAGTCCCCTTTACACGCTCTTAGGCGTATCGGGCATATGGGAAGAGCACCCATATTTTTACAGACCGATCGGCACTCGGTGGGTAATGTGGTCAGCATTACGCCGGCTGTCTTTACTTTCGCAGGATAGCCCATCCTGGTACCTATTTGAGGCTGGGTCGACCTGCGACGTCCCATACCACGATAACAAATCCACACAGCCCGCAGTGGGTTTCGATCACGGTATGTCGGATTACGAGTCGGACTCGCAACGCCTTAGCCACGGACGCCGCTAGAGTCTATGTACGTTCTGTTAATGATTTGCGACGAATGTATTCTCCGCTTCTCGGCAACATTCGGCCAGTCCAGACGATAGCTGAGCTAGAGGAAGGCGTGGGACTCACCGCCCATGGCGATAGAAATTAAAGCCAGAGATGACAACACGCCCCCTCCCCACCCACCCACTTTCTATAGCCCAAAGCCTGGGCAGTATTGTAGAAACTATTGATTTCAGCCAGAATCATATCCTCCATTTTTGTTTTCTCCAAACTGTTCCGGCATATAATGTCACCGACATTTTTTAAGTTTCGGTCAGGTCTCCTTCAACATTCAGATCCTGAAGAATGTCAGTATTCTTTCTCTTCTTGATGAATTATATTCCAAGTATTAAGTATATTCTAAGTATAAATTATAATCTAAGTACAAATTATATTACAAGTTTCAATTATACTCTAAGTATCTATGATATTCTAAAAATTGTTTTTTTAAATATACGTTTAAAAGTCCTGGTTTTTTTTTTTTTAAATTGACGGGAAACACAAAAATGCATTAATAACCAGAATATTAGTCTGACAGGCTGGGGTTACCTGTGTGGTGTAAGTACATGGCGTTTAACAGGCGCACTTTGGCAGAGTCCGGTTTGATTTGCATGGCACGCAAGATGTATCTCCTGGCTTCCTGGATATCTTGTCTGTTCAGTAGGCTGGAGGACATGACCAGGAGCGCCTCGATGTGGTTGGGCTCAATGGCTAGAGCTTGTCTGATATAAGTCATGCCTGACGAATCACCCTCATCCCTGGATAGAAGTGTCATGGAGAGTCAAGCCAAACGTGAAGTAGCATTGGCTAACTTCCAAATATAACGCAGTCATAAAAAAAAACAATATAAATATTGTGCAGAAATGGGAGCACGGCTACAGGTCAGAGTATAGTTTTAATGGTAACTTCATTAACATGTTTTTAAAGTAAACACTTGTTTGGAATTCAGTCTCAATTAGTTCAATGATAGTATGTTCATGTCCTATACTGATGAAGACTTTATAGCAGCAACGTTCATTAGATGTTCATTACTGTGATCATGTTAAGCTGCCTAGCTCTACTTCGCGTCGGAATTTATATTTTTCGGGCAGTGAAAGGTTAGTGAAAGGCTAGTGAAAGGCTAATGAAAGGCTAGTGAAAGGCTAATGAAAGGCTAGTGAAAGGATAGTGAAAGGCTAGTGAAACGCTAGTGAAAGGCTAGTGAAAGGCTAGTGAAAGGCTAGTGAAAGGCTAGTGAAAGGCTAGTGAAAGGCTAATGAAAGGCTAATGAAAGGCTAGTGAAAGGATAGTGAAAGGCTAGTGAAACGCTAGTGAAAGGCTAGTGAAAGGCTAGTGAAAGGCTAGTGAAAGGCTAGTGAAAGGCTAGTGAAAGGCTAATGAAAGGCTAGTGAAAGGCTAGTGAAAGGCTAATGAAAGGCTAGTGAAAGGCTAATGAAAGGCTAATGAAAGGCTAGTGAAAGGCTAATGGAAGGCTAGTGAAAGGCTAGTGAAATGCTAGTGAAAGGCTAGTGAAAGGCTAGTGGAAGGCTAGTGAAAGGCTAGTGGAAGGCTAGTGAAAGGCTAGTGAAAGGCTAGTGAAAGGCTAGTGAAAGGCTAGTGAAAGGCTAATGAAAGGCTAGTGAAAGGCTAGTGAAAGGCTAGTGAAAGGCTAGTGAAAGGCTAATGAAAGGCTAGTGAAAGGCTAGTGAAAGGCTAATGAAAGGCTAGTGAAAGGCTAGTGAAAGGCTAGTGAAAGGCTAATGAAAGGCTAGTGAAAGGCTAGTGAAAGGCTAGTGAAAGGCTAGTGAAAGGCTAGTGAAAGGCTAGTGAAAGGCTAATGAAAGGCTAGTGAAAGGCTAGTGAAAGGCTAATGAAAGGCTAATGAAAGGCTAGTGAAAGGCTAATGAAAGGCTAGTGAAAGGCTAGTGAAAGGCTAATGAAAGGCTAATGAAAGGCTAATGAAAGGCTAGAGAAAGGCTAGTGAAAGAAAGAAAATATGACACGGATGAGCAAAGCAACAGCAGCTTTTAAAAGCGCGAACAAAATATGGAATTCCAAACTATAGAGTTTTACAACCGAGTTATGTATTGTCAATTCTAATGATATTTCAGGTTTAACATGTGATGCTGAAAGTCGGAGAAGCACTAAAGACATGCAACGAAAGTTACATTAATTCGAAAACAAATGTTCAATGAAAATATTAAAAATAAAATGAGATGAATTCAAGAGGAGTAAAGAAATAAGACAAATGCAAGGCAGCCACTAGTATCAAGTTATAAGTCAGAGAAGAGGGTGCTACATTGGACACATCCTGGGAAGAAACCAGCAGAGAATCACCAAACATGCATTAGAATGGGAAATAAAGGGATTAGGGAGGCGAGGATGCCCAAAAGAAACTGTTTTTAAAGGGGTAGGAAATTATAGGGAAAGAGAGAAGGTAAAAAAAAAACAGTTTATGTTAGCTTTACAAAATCGATCACAATAAGAAACTCTGAAGCAAACGTTAAAGAGAGAGGCAAAAGCTTTTGGACTGGATTCCATCCATGATATCGAACTGATTGTAAATAATAGAACAGGATGCAGGAATAAACTGTGAGCCCTATGTGGTACATAATGGCACAACAAAACAAATAAATAATAATAAAACTCATTTCCATTATTGTGGCTATATCAATGCTTCGTTTACTCGATAGTTGTCTGTATCTTTGATTTTCACATGAAAGACTTGGGTTCAGTTCCTCCCGGGGAGATAATTTGTTTTCTCTGAGTTGGAGTTTATTCACAACCAAGTATACGCAGCTGGATAATTACATAAGGAGAGACTGATCTGATTATGGCCAATACAAGAATGTCATCCATGAAGCAAACCGTATCATCCAAATAATATGCTATAATCTCGCCAAACTGCAATGCAGCCCGGTCAGAGGACAAGTAATCCGCTATTTCTTTCAGATAGTGAGAGTTTCCTTGTTACGTAAGCAGTTTATGGAGCCAAGACGGATAAAACAAATCTGTTTCAATCTCGGAAAAGTGCTATTACCGTTGTTTGATTTGATTGCAGGCTCTGATGAATTATGTGGTTGAACAGAGGAAGGACAAGAAGCTCACGGACAGATACAACACGCCATGAGGACGGCTTGAAAGGAATTCCCTCAGGAAGAGAACAGACTGACCATAGAAGATGGAGATAATTGATCTTCTTTGGTCACGCTGTGATAAGCGGAAAGGTAAGATCTTTGGTCACGATGTGATAAGCCGAAAGGTAAGATCTGTGGTCACGCTGTGATAAGGGGAAAGGTAAGAGATTACATCTTGACAACAGAAAGGTTGGAGGAAAAGAGAGACCGAGTAAAACAGTTTACACGGGGACATTGAAAAATAACCATTTCAGAAATGGTTGAAAGTAGCCGTGATAAAAAGGGTGATTACACAGGGTATGGGCACGGGCGATGGAACCTGTTGTCTTAGTCACCTTGAATAGCTCCCCCCACCCCACCCCGCCCCCTTTCCACATTTCTCTCAACCATTTATAAACGTTGTCATTTCCTTTATTTATTTATAAATTTAATATATATAAATACTGTATTATATTTACTTCCCATTCAATAAACAATAATAATTATTATTATTCACCTAAACAATGCTTAATATTCTCGAGCAGCCTCTAGACAATTTTTTTCACCCACAATTATTTTTGATTTGTAGCGGGGCCCATGAAAATAGACTAGAGGATAAAGATTCTCCCTCTGCGATATAAAATCGCCACCTTCAGTGTAACCATGAGCTTCGTCATCGACTCCACGGAATAAAGAGAGATTACTCACACGAACAGACTGCCCAAGTTAACTAGGGCGCCAGTATGTTGGGGTCTTAGGCGCAGTGCCTCCTGGTAGCACTGACGAGCCTGTGTTTTGTTGGTCAGTATGGTTCCAAGATTTAGATGGTAGCTGGCCACATTGGGGTTCAACCTGTGAGATTAAAAACATTAAAACAAAGCAATAAGGTCTACAGTGTTCGTAAAGTTTTGCTGTGTTTGTTATTCGACCCATGCTTCATTATTATAAATTTCTATAACCTATGGTGCCATTTCAATAGTTTGAAATGAATTATGTCCATATTCCATAGTTGTGGATTTCAAGCTGTACGATAGACATGGCCAATAAGACATCTTTTTGTTTAAGCGGGGGGGGGGAGGGGGGGGAGGTGATGTAGGGGCCTGATTGACCGTGTTCTTAGTACACTGGTTTCCATAGTAAGTCGCACACGCCGTCTGGAGGTCACAGGTTCGATTCCCGGCACAGTAACTATAGCTTTCGTTTTGTATGTTGTTAAGTGTGTTCTTCTATCTTTCTACTTCTTTCTATGAGTGCCTATCAATACATTGTCTGTTATTTTATTATTATGTAACTGTGGGATAAGATGTTGTACTGTTAGGTTATAAGTCATCCTTGCCTGCATAGAATTGTAGGTTAAACCTGGCTGCCCTAATTAAAACTTCTTGGCAGGTTGAAGGGGTAGCTGGGATTTGCTTTGTGGGTCTGCCGTCCACATTGAGATTTGTGATTCTCCGGATGGCATTGTAAATATTTACTGACCAGATACTTTCATGTAATTAGCCAGGAAACTATAACTGGCCTGATGGCGGACCTGTAATTAGATAGAAAACTAGAACTGACCTGTAATTAGATAGAAAACTAGAACTGACCTATAATTAGATAGAAAACAGGAATTGACCTGATGGCGGTCCTGTAATTAGATAGGAAACTGGAACTGACCTTTAATTAGAAAGAAAACTATAACTGGACTGATGGTAGGCCTGTTCTATCTAAAAACAATAACTGACCTGTAATTGGATAGAAAACAAGAACTGACCTGATGGCGGTCCTGTAATTAGATAGAAAACTAGAACTGACCTGATGACGGTCCTGTAATTAGATAAACAACAAGAACTGACCTGATAGCGGTCCTGTAATTAGATAAAAAAAACAAGAACTAACCTGATGGCGGTTATGTAATTAGACAGAAAACAAGAACTAACCTGATGGCGGTCCTGTAATTAGATAAAAAAACAAGAACTAACCTGATGGCGGTTATGTAATTAGACAGAAAACAAGAACTAACCTGATGGCGGTTCTGTAATTAGATAGAAAACAAGAACTGACCTGATGGCGGTCCTGTAATTAGATGAAAAAAAACTAGAACTGACCTGTAATTAGATAAGAAACTAGAACTGACCTGATGGCTGTCCTGTAATGCATCTCCGCTTCCTGAATGTTGCCCTCATCTTTAAGTAGATTGGCCAGGTTGTAGTGGATCTTGGCGTTGTTGGGCAGGGTTCGAACCCCGGACCTTGTTTGCAAACACAAAAATAAGTGTTGTTGCAACAGCTTATTCATTGACGTCCAGGAGCGTAGGAAACTTGAAAAAGGAAAGGTGGCCCCGGGGCGGGAGGAGAGACCACTTGAATATGTTTCTTCTTCAGGGGTTGGGGGGAGGGGGTGGGAGGGGGGATTGCACTAACTATGTATAAACGCTCTGTTTTAAGTGCATTTCTTAGTCTTTCAAATATTTTTTTTAAATAGTTTTTGACCATGCAGCCGATAATTTTTATTAGGCAATCAAAGAAGGCTCAGGCCCCTTGTGTTGTTTCCTTTGCATCGGCACCTGTACTGACAATCGTATTTATATAACACCTTTGTATATCCCGACAGACCTGAAAAGGCAGTGCTACCGCGGCCAGTGAAAACCAAAACATAACAGAGACCATTAGATGGATCCAGTGCTGAACTGCACCAAGAGTCATCAGATCAAATGGTTCGGACATGTGTCAAGACTACCATCAGATAGTGCACCTCAGACAAGATACATGTTGTTGTTTTCCTGTATACCTCAGCTTGCGGAGCAATGTACCTGAAAAATCTAGTTATTTACTTCCTTGTCTGATGGAGCTTGGCGAGTTTGTTGAGCTTGGCGAGTTTGTTGAGCTTGGTGAGTTTGTTGAGCTTGGTTAGTTTGTTGAGCTTGGTGAGTTTGTTGAGCTGGGAGAGTTTGTTGAGCTGGGAGAGTTTGTTAAGCTTGGTGAGTTTGTTGAGCTGGGAGAGTTTGTTGAGCTTGGCGAGTTTGTTGAGCTTGGTGAGTTTGTTGAGCTTGGTGAGTTTGTTGAGCTGGGTGAGTTTGTTGAGCTTGGTGAGTTTGTTGAGCTGGGAGAGTTTGTTGAGCTGAGCGAGTTTGTTGAGCTTGGTGAGTTTGTTGAGCTTGGTGAGTTTGTTGAGCTTGGTGAGTTTGTTGAGCTTGGTGAGTTTGTTGAGCTGGGAGAGTTTGTTGAGCTGGGCGAGTTTGTTGAGCTTGGTGAGTTTGTTGAGCTTGGTGAGTTTGTTGAGCTTGGTGAGTTTGTTGAGCTTGGCGAGCTGTTGAGCTGGGTGAGTTTGTTGAGCTTGGTGAGTTTGTTGAGCTGGGAGAGTTTGTTGAGCTTGGCGAGTTTGTTGAGCTTGGTGAGTTTGTTGAGCTTGGTGAGTTTGTTGAGCTGGGTGAGTTTGTTGAGCTTGGTGAGTTTGTTGAGCTGGGAGAGATTGTTGAGCTGGGCGAGTTTGTTGAGCTTGGTGAGTTTGTTGAGCTTGGTGAGTTTGTTGAGCTTGGTGAGTTTGTTGAGCTGGGTGAGTTTGTTGAGCTGGGAGAGTTTGTTGAGCTGGGAGAGTTTGTTGAGCTGGGTGAGTTTGTTGAGCTTGGTGAGTTTGTTGAGCTGGGAGAGTTTGTTGAGCTTGGCGAGTTTGTTGAGCTTGGTGAGTTTGTTGAGCTTGGTGAGTTTGTTGAGCTGGGTGAGTTTGTTGAGCTTGGTGAGTTTGTTGAGCTGTGAGAGTTTGTTGAGCTGGGCGAGTTTGTTGAGCTTGGTGAGTTTGTTGAGCTTGGTGAGTTTGTTGAGCTTGGTGAGTTTGTTGAGCTGGGTGAGTTTGTTGAGCTTGGTTAGTTTGTTGAGCTGGGCGAGTTTGTTGAGCTTGGTGAGTTTGTTGAGCTTGGTGAGTTTGTTGAGCTGGGAGAGTTTGTTGAGCTGGGCGAGTTTGTTGAGCTTGGTGAGTTTGTTGAGCTTGGTGAGTTTGTTGAGCTTGGTGAGTTTGTTGAGCTGGGTGAGTTTGTTGAGCTGGGAGAGTTTGTTGAGCTGGGAGAGTTTGTTGAGCTGGGAGAGTTTGTTGAGCTGGGTGAGTTTGTTGAGCTTGGTGAGTTTGTTGAGCTTGGTGAGTTTGTTCAGCTGGGTGAGTTTGTTGAGCTGGGAGAGTTTGTTGAGCTTGGTGAGTTTGTTGAGCTTGGTGAGTTTGTTGAGCTGGGAGAGTTTGTTGAGCTTGGTGAGTTTGTTGAGCTTGGCGAGCTGCTGAGCTTGGTGAGTTTGTTAAGCTGGGTGAGTTTGTTGAGCTGGGAGAGTTTGTTGAGCTGGGAGAGTTTGTTGAGCTGGGAGAGTTTGTTGAGCTGGGTGAGTTTGTTGAGCTTGGTGCTTTTGTTGAGCTTGGTGAGTTTGTTGAGCTGGGTGAGTTTGTTGAGCTTGGTGAGTTTGTTGAGCTTGGTGAGTTTGTTGAGCTTGGTGAGTTTGTTGAGCTGGGAGAGTTTGTTGAGCTTGGTGAGTTTGTTGAGCTGGGTGAGTTTGTTGAGCTGGGAGAGTTTGTTGAGCTTGGTGAGTTTGTTGAGCTGGGAGAGTTTGTTGAGCTTGGTGAGTTTGTTGAGCTTGGTGAGTTTGTTGAGCTTGGTGAGTTTGTTGAGCTGGGTGAGTTTGTTGAGCTGGGTGAGTTCGTTGAGCTGGGTGAGTTTGTTGAGCTGGGTGAGTTTGTTGAGCTTGGTGAGTTTGTTGAGCTTGGTGAGTTTGTTGAGCTTGGTGAGTTTGTTGAGCTTGGTGAGTTTGTTGAGCTTGGTGAGTTTGTTGAGCTTGGTGAGTTTGTTGAGCTGGGCGAGTTTGTTGAGCTTGGTGCGTTTATTGAGCTTGGTGAGTTTGTTGAGCTTGGTGCGTTTATTGAGCTTGGTGAGTTTGTTGCGCTTGGTGCGTTTATTGAGCTTGGTGAGTTTATTGAGCTTGGTGCGTTTATTGAGCTTGGTGAGTTTGTTGAGCTTGGTGCGTTTATTGAGCTTGGTGAATTTGTTGAGCTTGGTGAGTTTGTTGAGCTTGGTGAGTTTGTTGAGCTTGGTGCGTTTATTGAGCTTGGTGCGTTTATTGAGCTTGGTGAGTTTGTTGAGCTGGGTGAGTTTGTTGAGCTGGGTGCGTTTGTTGAGCTTGGTGAGTTTGTTGAGCTTGGTGAGTTTATTGAGCTTGGTGCGTTTGTTGAGCTTGGCGAGTTTGTTGAGCTTGGTGAGTTTATTGAGCTTGGTGCGTTTGTTGAGCTTGGCGAGTTTGTTGAGCTTGGTGAGTTTATTGAGCTTGGTGAGTTTGTTGAGCTGGGTGAGTTTGTTGAGCTGGGTGAGTTTGTTGAGCTTGGTGAGTTTGTTGAGCTTGGCGAGTTTGTTGAGCTTGGTGAGTTTGTTGAGCTTGGTGAGTTTGTTGAGCTGGGTGCATTCCTATCTCCCCCCCCCCCACCCCCCCCCCCCCCAACTTCCCTTTTCCTTTCTCTCTAAGTCTCCCTTTCTTATTTTATCTTCTCATTTGTCTCGTAATATCTGTCTCTTCTCTCCTCTTTCTCTCCATGGCTTCTCTCTTTCTCCCCCTCTCTGTCTCTCTGTATGTGTGTCTCTCTGTGCGTGTGTCTGCATGTGTGTCTCTCTGTGCGTGTGTCTGCATGTGTGTCTCTCTGTTCGTGTGTCTGCATGTGTGTCTCTCTGTGCGTGTGTCTGCATGTGTGTCTTTCTGTGCGTGTGTCTGCATGTGTATCTCTCTGTGCGTGTGTCTGCATGTGTATCTCTCTGTGCGTGTGTCTGCATGTGTGTCTCTTTGTGCGTGTGTCTGCATGTGTGTCTCTCTGTGCGTGTGTCTGCATGTGTGTCTCTCTGTGCGTGTGTCTGCATGTGTGTCTCTCTGTGCGTGTGTCTGCATGTGTGTCTCTCTGTGCGTGTGTCTGCATGTGTCTCTCTGTGCGTGTGTCTGCATGTGTGTCTCTCTGTGCGTGTGTCTGTATGTGTGTCTCTCTGTGCGTGTGTCTGCATGTGTGTCTGTGTGTGTGTGTCTGCATGTGTGTCTCTCTGTGCGTGTGTCTGCATGCGTGTCTCTCTGTGCGTGTGTCTGCATGTGTGTCTCTCTGTGCGTGTGTCAGCATGTGTGTCTCTCTGTGCGTGTGTCTGCATGTGTGTCTCTCTGTGCGTGTGTCTGTATGTGTGTCTCTCTGTGCGTGTGTCTGCTTGTGTCTCTGTGCGTGTGTCTGCATGTGTGTCTCTGTGCGTGTGTCTGCATGTGTGTCTCTGTGCGTGTGTCTGCATGTGTGTCTCTCTGTGCGTGTGTCTGCATGTGTGTGTCTCTGTGCGTGTGTCTGCATGTGTGTCTCTCTGTGCGTGTGTCTGCATGTGTCTCTCTGTGCGTGTGTCTGCATGTGTGTCTCTCTGTGCGTGTGTCTGCATGTGTCTCTCTGTGCGTGTGTCTGCATGTGTGTCTCTGTGTGTGTGTGTCTGCATGTGTCTCTCTGTGCGTGTGTCTGCATGTGTGTCTCTCTGTGTGTGTGTGTCTGCATG